AAAACATCAGGGACATCTGCCTTGCGCTGCAAGGGGAAGACCGTGGTGTAGCGCGTGTAGTCGTCGACAACCAGCAGGAAGTACCGCTCGTGGCCCTGTCCACGGACGCGGGCTGGGCCCCACACGTCCAGGTGGAGAGTCTGCAGTGGAGCCTCTGTGGGAGGGAACGAGGAGGAGTGAGGAGCGGCGCGCTGCCGCCCCTCGACGCAGGGAATGCAGGGCGGTGCAGGCGAGGGAGGGAGGGGAGGCAGAGACCTGGGAAGACCAGAAACCAGGAAGCGGGAGTGCATGCTGCGTAGGCGAGGCAGGGAGGGGTGACCAAGGCGGTGGTGCCACAGGAGAGTGTCGTGCGACAGCCGGCGACACTCACACTGTGTAGCTACCTGAGCAGACGCGTGCAACTGGGGAGACAAAGGGGTGGAGCGGGACGCAGTGGTGAGGGTGTAGAGACTGGACCCTGGCGCACGAGCGAACGTGGCCAGGTGGCGACCAGTCTGGGAGCACGTGCAAATCGCCACACGCTGCCGGCCAGGGGTGAAGGTGTCAACCCCCGCATCCTGGAGGACAGCGTTACTCACCAAGTTCGTAGAGAACGAGGGGAGGTGGAGACCAGACAGCTCACCAGACGGGACCGCCGGACACGGAAGCACAGTGGAAGACCGTGCAAGCACTGGGCCCCCAGAGGGGTCAGCCAGTGAGACAGGAACAGGTGCAGGGAGGGGAGTGACTGTGGTACTGTCGCGAAAGAAACAGCGGGAAGCACCAGAGTCAAGTGTAAATGTGTGCAAAGCCTGTGCAGGCGCAGTACCAAGGGGAGCAGACTCACAAGCACCTAGTGCTGCAGGGGCTATACCAGGGGCTATACTAGGATCCGGCGGCACACACAAGTAGCAGTCACCCTCAGCACTAACAGACAAGGCATACATAGCAGCAAGAATTGCCTCATAGTCAAGATCAAAGATAGGTACATCACGTCTAAGCAAGTCTGCCCAGTTGGGGAACTCAGTAGCATCAGGAAACTTGGCGCGCCAGGCGTCGCTAAGCCGAGCGAAGCAGCGCTGCTCAGTGTGAAAACCTGTGCACTGGCGACCAGCGCGGGGACCTGTGCGGATGATATAGGGGCAGCGACCAGGACCCCCAGAAGCCCCACGCCCGGCATACCAGTCAAGAATCTGCTGGGAAGTGGGGGTCTGGCGCTGACGCTGATGCTGCTGCTGCTGCTGCTGCTGCTGCTGCTGCGGCTGCTGCTGGCCCTGACCACCAATGCCACTACCGCCCCCTCCTCCCCCACCGCCGCTGCTGCCCCCTCCACCGCTCCCAGTGCCTCCGCCGCCCCCACCACCACCTCCACCGCCTCCACCCCCACGACCACCCCCACCACCTCCACCTCCCCCGCCGCCTGCACCACCGCCACCTCCACCGCCACCCCCACCGCCCCTGCCACCCCTGCCGCCCCTGCCGCTGCGACGCTTCCCACTAGGAGCGGAAGCAGCTCCGACCCCCTCAGCACCAAGGTAGTCGTGAGCAGCAGCTGCGGAGGCGTAGGAGGGGGTGAGAGGGGAGGGGGAGCACCCCTCAAAGAGGGGAGAGCGAGGGGTGCCACGAGCAGCACCTACAGCGAGGATGTTCTTCTCTGCTGCGAGGAGGTGCTTCTCGAAGTCGTCGACAGTGAGAGTGGTGGGGTCTAGCGCTAGGAAGTGGTCCCTGACAGAGCTAAGAGTGTCAGGGAGGCGGGTGACGAGGAAATAGAGAGTGAAGTACATCGGGGGGGGGGGGGTTGCCGCGCAGAACTCGGCTGAAAGGGCGGCACGAAAGCGAGAGTCAGTAGCGCGCAGGTGAGAAACTAGGTCCTCAGCAGTGGTGAATGAGGAAAGATTGGGGAACAGGTACGGTAGCATGAGTCGACCTATGGCTGCAGTGGCCGGGGAGGAGTAGCGCGCAACTACAGCGTCGTACAGTGTCTTAGCAGTTCTGTGCTGGCTGAAATGCGCTCGCTCAGTAATCGGCAGGTGGTTCCTAATAGCTAGGCGTGCAGAAGCATCACGGGTCTGCCACTGGGAACGTTCTAGAGCAGGAGCATCAGCAGCAGGAGTAACGGCAGTGCCAGAGACGTAATCAAACAGGGAAACGCCCTCTTTGGCATCAGTCAGAAGGAACAGCTGGAGATCGTCTAACCACACAGTGAACTCGATGGGACGTCCGTCGGGCTCGAACGCTAGAACGTTAGGCGTCGCCATATTCGCAGGCAGGCGGCAGCAGGCAGCAAGCAGGCAGGCGGCAGCAGGCAGCAAGCAGCAGGCTGGCAGCAGGCAGGCAGCAAGCAGCAAGCAGGCAGGCAGGCAGGCGGCAGGCAGGCGGCAGCAGGCAGCAAGCAGGCAGGCGGCAGCAGGCAGCAAGCAGTAGGCAGGCAGCTGGCAGGTAGCAGGCAGGCAGCAGCAGGCAGCAAGCAGGCAGGCGGCAGTAGGCAGCAAGCAGTAGGCAGGCAGCAGGTAGGCTGCAGGCAGGCAGGCAGGCGGCAGGCAGGCGGCAGCAGGCAGCAAGCAGTAGGCAGGCAGCAGGCAGGCAGCAGGCAGGCTGCAGGCAGGCGGCAGCAGGCAGCAAGCAGTAGGCAGGCAGCAGGCAGGCAGCAGGCAGGCTGCAGGCAGACGGCAGCAGGCAGCAAGCAGGCATGCAGGCAGGCAGCAGGTAGGCAGCAGGTAGGCTGCAGGCAGGCGGCAGCAGGCAGCAAGCAGGCAGGCGGCAGTAGGCAGCAAGCAGTAGGCAGGCAGCAGGCAGGCAGCAGGCAGGTTGCAGGCAGCAGGCAGCAAGCAGGCAGGCAGGCAGGCAGCAGGTAGGCAGCAGGCAGGAGCGGCCTGAGGGCTGCGTGAGACTGCTGGCTGCGTGTGGCGGCTTGCTGCACGAGGCTGCAGGTTGCACGTGGCTACTGGCAGCGCGCGCAGCTGCAGGCTGCTCGTGGCGACGCGCGGGCTGGCACCAGGCTGCGTGGGCGGCTGACGCGGCGTGTGGGGCCTAAAACGGGCTACACGGCGCGTGGGGCCTAAAACGGGCTACACGGCGCGTAGGGCCTAAAACGGGCTACACGGACGCGGCGCGCAGGGCCTAAGCAGGTGCGCACGGGCGGCTTACACGGCGCGCGGGCCGACGGCAGGCTGCGCGGGTGGCTGACGTGGCACACGGGGCCGAAAACGGGCTACGCGCGGGCTGCTTAAGTGGCGCGCACGGAAAAAAAAAGAGGCCGTGCGCGTGTAGCCGAGGCGCGCGCGGGCAGCAGGCAAGGCAGACGAAGTAATGCAGTAATCGGTGGGCCCTAATCTTAGGTCCTAACGACCTATGCTCTAGATACCATCTTAGAAGTTAGGCATGGTGGAATGTCGACTATCGAGATGGTGGTACAAAGGAAAAGCAACCTAAGGGGTTGTACCCTACAATGTGTACCCCACTAAGCCTACCCAAAATATAACATAGCTATACATATGTTTGACACATGCTACTGACTGGACAAGGACACGTCATCAACAACGATCCTCCAGAAGTGAAGGGGAGTGTTGGAAACAAGTGATTTATAACGCTTCTGTGGTATCGAAGCTTCGACACAAAACGGAACTGACTACAGCGAAGAAGCACTCGAGTCAACCAAGGCAACCGTCGGAGGTTGCGCGAAGGTCAAAGGTCTTCGACCTTTGACCTGACGAAACGTACATTGCGACAGCAAGGACACATAACTGACTCGTTACAGAGCAGTTAACCGAGTCGGCACTGTATCGAACCGCAATGGCAAAAAACAGTTAATATAGAACTTTCAATATTCCTTTGTAATCATATAAAAACCTTGTACTTCTCTGCTATTATCAACTTATCTTGTTCTCACACACCAGTACAAGGTGGTTCACGACAACTCTTCATTTAACGCTTCCGCTATTACATCTCTGCATCAACACCCGATCTTAGTCCTGAAAGTTCCTAAGGGCTTTTCTCAGCCCAACACAGTTGAGTTGGTGTGTTGGTGCGTGCAGTACCGCGGCGATAGCTAGGAATAGGAGAGCAGTAATCGATAGTGGTTGGGACTGATGCAAGTGGAAGGAAACAAGGTAGCAGAAAGGGTAAGGGGACCGGAAGAGAGTTGCTCATGATGGTGGTTGGATGGAATGGAGGAAAAGAGGGGGCGTGTGGTTGGAGTAGTTGACGGAATTGGTGTTTTGGTGTTTTGTCAGAAGGATATGCGTGAATTGCAATTTCTTGGTCTTTACGTGTTGTATCACGTGAATGATCACCTGCAAATGTTGCACTTGATGTAATTCGCTTAGAAATCAATTGGGGCTATTAACCAAGAAAATCCCTCAAAATTTCTGTTCATTTTGTTGTGTTTGCAGAAGTAATTATGATTTCTTACTGTATGGCTTGTAAGCTGGTTTGCCTGGCGTGATGAAATCGTGCTTGCCAGCCAAGTAATTATGATTTCTTACTGTATGGCTTGTAAGCTGGTTTGCCTGGCGTGATGAAATGGCGCCAGGCAAACTTGGGCCACGGGCCAGATTCTGTAAAAATATGCGGGATCAGCAAGTGAGAGCTGGGACGTACGTCAGGTAGTGGCTCGATAGCGGTCGTATCGAAGCGACTCAGGTAGTGGCAACGAGAGCGAGACGAGGTCATTCGCGATGGCGGAGAGCCGCGACATCAGCGACGTGAGGAGCAGCAGCAATGGCGGGGTGCGCAAACAAGAGGCGCAAGCTTGACACTCGTTGAGCATCATCATTATACAGTGTACTACATTGGCAATCGAAGGACGCTTAAAGCGTCAGGTAGTGGCGCAAACGCTACTGCGTCAGAGCGACAGACATGCATCGAAACAGAGCACGACGTGCGGGGATGAGAGAGCGACGTAGTGCGACGACAGAGCGACGGGCGACGGCAGGAAAACGGCATTCGATGACGATGAATCGACAAAAATCGATTCGCGATGGCGGAAAGCTGAGGCAGCAGATGCGCAAAGAGAAGCCGCAATGACGGATGGGGCAAGCACGTGGTGCGGAAGCGACCGAGACAGCGGCGGCAGCGGCGGAGGCAGCAACGTCGTTGCGAGCAGCAAAGGCCGGTGCTTGCACCCTAGGCCAGCGGCACAGGGCTGGCAATACGTAGCGGGAGAGCCAAGTGTGTGGTGGCGCCCAATATGGATGGAGGGGGTTCCTGGGGCAGGTGAGGAGGGGGGAGAGTGTAGGGTAGTGATGGTAAGGGGTGTGATGGTGATAATTTGTGCACGAATGCATAAGGTGAGGTGAGCAGCGGCAGGGGCAAAAGAAGCAGCAGAGGGCAGGCGGTGCGCAGCGGAAGGCAAGTGTGTGGTGCTGGCATGGAATGTGGAGGAAGAATCTGGGACAGGTGAGAGGGGAACAGCGGTGATGGGAGGTGGGAGAAGGGATAAGGGTTGTCATTGCTCTTCAGGCTGTGCACAGGTGTGTGGTGCTTGCACCTTAAGTGGAGGAGGTGCCTGGGACAGGTGAGTGTTTGGGAGGGAGGGGGGGAAGGGGGAGGTATGGGTGGGAGGCGGGAGGAACGGGGCGAGAGAGGAGGGTGTGGGGGTGATGGTGCGAGACATTTGTTTCATTTCGCATCATCACTTGGGCATGCCGTTTCTTAGAATTCGGTGAACATGCTCTCCCACCCATATACAGCATTCAATGTTCAAAATCAAACCACCCCGAGGCCCTACCCCACCCACCCCACCCCACCCCTCTCGTCCATCCAATCAGATGCCACTGCACGCATCATTCCTGAGGAAGGGGTGTATGTGTATGTGTATGTGTATGTGTATGTGTATGTGTATGTGTATGTGCATGTGTATGTGCATGTGTATGTGTATGTGTATGTGCATGTGTATGTGTATGTGTATGTGTATGTGTATGTGCATGTGTATGTGTATGTGTATGTGCATGTGTATGTGTATGTGTATGTGTATGTGCATGTGTATGTGTATGTGTATGTGTATGTGCATGTGTATGTGTATGTGTATGTGTATGTGCATGTGTATGTGTATGTGTATGTGTATGTGCATGTGTATGTGTATGTGCATGTGCATGTGCATGTGTATGTGTATGTGCATGTGTATGTGCATGTGTATGTGTATGTGTATGTGTATGTGTATGTGTATGTGTATGTGTATGTGTATGTGTATGTGTATGTGTATGTGCATGTGTATGTGTATGTGTATGTGTATGTGCATGTGTATGTGTATGTGTATGTGTATGTGCATGTGTATGTGTATGTGCATGTGCATGTGCATGTGTATGTGTATGTGCATGTGTATGTGCATGTGTATGTGTATGTGTATGTGTATGTGTATGTGTATGTGCATGTGTATGTGCATGTGTATGTGCATGTGTATGTGCATGTGTATGTGCATGTGTATGTGCATGTGTATGTGTATGTGTATGTGTATGTGTATGTGTATGTGTATGTGTATGTGTATGTGCATGTGTATGTGTATGTGTATGTGTATGTGTATGTGCGCAGCATTCCCGACGCCGCCTGGCCACGGTGAGATGGACAAAGTGTGCATGCTGGGCGGGTTGGGCATGGATGGTTAGTCAGGGATGGTTAGGCAGGGCTGGTTAGGCAGGGCTGGTTAGGCAGGGCTGGTTAGGCAGGGCTGGTTAGGCAGGGCTGGTTAGGCAGGGCTGGTTAGGCAGGGATGGTTAGGCAGGGCTGGTTAGGCAGGGCTGGTTAGGGTGGTTAGGCTGGTTAGGGTGGTGGTGGACAGTCGTGGCTCTCTCCAGACGCCACCTCACCAAGATGACTGCAGGCCACCACAACTAGGGTGGTTTCTCTCTGGTTATCAATTGTGCTCACCTCACTTGCTCACCTCACTTGCTCACCCCACTTGCTCACCTCACTTGCTCACCCCACTTGCTTACCCCACTGTGGCAGCTGTGGCAGGAGGGGCAGGTGGAACGGGAGGCAATTGGTGCGTGAGTGGTGGGTAGGAGGGAAATAAATGGGTGGACGACAGATGGATGCTCAAGAAGGGCCGGAAATAGACTGACAGATTGATGCTCAGATGGAGATGTTCTTGCATTGCCCCCACCACACACTGATGGGGTGCACAGCCTTCTGAGGAATCAGAGCAAAGGAGACAGCTGTAGCAGGAGGGGCAGGCGGAGTGTGCTCACCTCATGCCTCATGCCCATCTCCCACACACTCACAAGGCACACGGCCTGCTGAGGAGCGTTCTGGCAGAGGCAGTCATGGCTGGAGGGGGCGGGGCAGGAGGCAGTGGGTGGCATGAGAGAGGGGTAGGAGAAGGTGCGTTAATGCAGGGGCCGAGTGGAGAGTGATTGGAGGGGCCGAGTGGAGAGTGATTGGAGGGGCCGAGTGGAGAGTGATTGGAGGGGCCGATTGGAGAGTGATTGGAGGGGCCGAGTGGAGAGTGATTGGAGGGGCCGAGTGGAGAGTGATTGGAGGGGCCGAGTGGAGAGTGATTGGAGGGGCCGAGTGGAGAGTGATTGGAGGGGCCGATTGGAGAGTGATTGGAGGGGCCGAGTGGAGAGTGATTGGAGGGGCCGAGTGGAGAGTGATTGGAGGGGCCGAGTGGAGAGTGATTGGAGGGGCCGAGTGGAGAGTGATTGGAGGGGCCGATTGGAGAGTGACTGGAGGGGCCGATTGGAGAGTGATTGGAGGGGCCGATTGGAGAGTGATTGGAGGGGCCGAGTGGAGAGTGATTGGAGGGGCCGAGTGGAGAGTGATTGGAGGGGCCGATTGGAGAGTGATTGGAGGGGCCGAGTGGAGAGTGATTGGAGGGGCCGATTGGAGAGTGATTGGAGGGGCCGAGTGGAGAGTGATTGGAGGGGCCGAGTGGAGAGTGATTGGAGGGGCCGATTGGAGAGTGATTGGAGGGGCCGAGTGGAGAGTGATTGGAGGGGCCGAGTGGAGAGTGATTGGAGGGGCCGATTGGAGAGTGATTGGAGGGGCCGAGTGGAGAGTGATTGGAGGGGCCGAGTGGAGAGTGATTGGAGGGGCCGAGTGGAGAGTGATTGGAGGGGCCGAGTGGAGAGTGATTGGAGGGGCCGAGTGGAGAGTGATTGGAGGGGCCGATTGGAGAGTGACTGGAGGGGCCGATTGGAGAGTGATTGGAGGGGCCGATTGGAGAGTGATTGGAGGGGCCGAGTGGAGAGTGATTGGAGGGGCCGAGTGGAGAGTGATTGGAGGGGCCGAGTGGAGAGTGATTGGAGGGGCCGAGTGGAGAGTGATTGGAGGGGCCGATTGGAGAGTGATTGGAGGGGCCGAGTGGAGAGTGATTGGAGGGGCCGAGTGGAGAGTGATTGGAGGGGCCGATTGGAGAGTGATTGGAGGGGCCGAGTGGAGAGTGATTGGAGGGGCCGAGTGGAGAGTGATTGGAGGGGCCGAGTGGAGAGTGATTGGAGGGGCCGATTGGAGAGTGATTGGAGGGGCCGAGTGGAGAGTGATTGGAGGGGCCGAGTGGAGAGTGATTGGAGGGGCCGAGTGGAGAGTGATTGGAGGGGCCGAGTGGAGAGTGATTGGAGGGGCCGATTGGAGAGTGACTGGAGGGGCCGATTGGAGAGTGATTGGAGGGGCCGATTGGAGAGTGATTGGAGGGGCCGAGTGGAGAGTGATTGGAGGGGCCGAGTGGAGAGTGATTGGAGGGGCCGATTGGAGAGTGATTGGAGGGGCCGAGTGGAGAGTGATTGGAGGGGCCGATTGGAGAGTGATTGGAGGGGCCGAGTGGAGAGTGATTGGAGGGGCCGAGTGGAGAGTGATTGGAGGGGCCGATTGGAGAGTGATTGGAGGGGCCGAGTGGAGAGTGATTGGAGGGGCCGAGTGGAGAGTGATTGGAGGGGCCGATTGGAGAGTGATTGGAGGGGCCGAGTGGAGAGTGATTGGAGGGGCCGATTGGAGAGTGATTGGAGGGGCCGATTGGAGAGTGATTGGAGGGGCCGAGTGGAGAGTGATTGGAGGGGCCGATTGGAGAGTGATTGGAGGGGCCGAGTGGAGAGTGATTGGAGGGGCCGATTGGAGAGTGATTGGAGGGGCCGATTGGAGAGTGATTGGAGGGGCCGAGTGGAGAGTGATTGGAGGGGCCGAGTGGAGAGTGATTGGAGGGGCCGAGTGGAGAGTGATTGGAGGGGCCGATTGGAGAGTGATTGGAGGGGCCGATTGGAGAGTGATTGGAGGGGCCGAGTGGAGAGTGATTGGAGGGGCCGATTGGAGAGTGATTGGAGGGGCCGAGTGGAGAGTGATTGGAGGGGCCGAGTGGAGAGTGATTGGAGGGGCCGAGTGGAGAGTGATTGGAGGGGCCGATTGGAGAGTGATTGGAGGGGCCGAGTGGAGAGTGATTGGAGGGGCCGAGTGGAGAGTGATTGGAGGGGCCGAGTGGAGAGTGATTGGAGGGGCCGAGTGGAGAGTGATTGGAGGGGCCGATTGGAGAGTGACTGGAGGGGCCGATTGGAGAGTGATTGGAGGGGCCGATTGGAGAGTGATTGGAGGGGCCGAGTGGAGAGTGATTGGAGGGGCCGAGTGGAGAGTGATTGGAGGGGCCGATTGGAGAGTGATTGGAGGGGCCGAGTGGAGAGTGATTGGAGGGGCCGATTGGAGAGTGATTGGAGGGGCCGAGTGGAGAGTGATTGGAGGGGCCGATTGGAGAGTGATTGGAGGGGCCGATTGGCGAGTGATTGGAGGGGCCGATTGGAGAGTGATTGGAGGGGCCGAGTGGAGAGTGATTGGAGGGGCCGATTGGAGAGTGATTGGAGGGGCCGATTGGAGAGTGATTGGAGGGGCCGAGTGGAGAGTGATTGGAGGGGCCGAGTGGAGAGTGATTGGAGGGGCCGATTGGAGAGTGATTGGAGGGGCCGAGTGGAGAGTGATTGGAGGGGCCGATTGGAGAGTGATTGGAGGGGCCGATTGGAGAGTGATTGGAGGGGCCGAGTGGAAGTGATTGGAGGGGCCGATTGGAGAGTGATTGGAGGGGCCGAGTGGAGAGTGATTGGAGGGGCCGATTGGAGAGTGATTGGAGGGGCCGAGTGGAGAGTGATTGGAGGGGCCGATTGGAGAGTGATTGGAGGGGCCGATTGGAGAGTGATTGGAGGGGCCGAGTGGAGAGTGATTGGAGGGGCCGAGTGGAGAGTGATTGGAGGGGCCGAGTGGAGAGTGATTGGAGGGGCCGATTGGAGAGTGATTGGAGGGGCCGATTGGAGAGTGATTGGAGGGGCCGAGTGGAGAGTGATTGGAGGGGCCGATTGGAGAGTGATTGGAGGGGCCGAGTGGAGAGTGATTGGAGGGGCCGAGTGGAGAGTGATTGGAGGGGCCGAGTGGAGAGTGATTGGAGGGGCCGATTGGAGAGTGATTGGAGGGGCCGAGTGGAGAGTGATTGGAGGGGCCGAGTGGAGAGTGATTGGAGGGGCCGAGTGGAGAGTGATTGGAGGGGCCGAGTGGAGAGTGATTGGAGGGGCCGATTGGAGAGTGACTGGAGGGGCCGATTGGAGAGTGATTGGAGGGGCCGATTGGAGAGTGATTGGAGGGGCCGAGTGGAGAGTGATTGGAGGGGCCGAGTGGAGAGTGATTGGAGGGGCCGATTGGAGAGTGATTGGAGGGGCCGAGTGGAGAGTGATTGGAGGGGCCGATTGGAGAGTGATTGGAGGGGCCGAGTGGAGAGTGATTGGAGGGGCCGATTGGAGAGTGATTGGAGGGGCCGATTGGCGAGTGATTGGAGGGGCCGAGTGGAGAGTGATTGGAGGGGCCGAGTGGAGAGTGATTGGAGGGGCCGATTGGAGAGTGATTGGAGGGGCCGAGTGGAGAGTGATCGGAGGGGCCGATTGGAGAGTGATTGGAGGGGCCGATTGGAGAGTGATTGGAGGGGCCGATTTTAGAGTGATTGGAGGGGCCGAGTGGAGAGTGATTGGAGGGGCCGATTGGAGAGTGATTGGAGGGGCCGAGTGGAGAGTGATCGGAGGGGCCGATTGGAGAGTGATTGGAGGGGCCGATTGGAGAGTGATTGGAGGGGCCGATTGGAGAGTGATTGGAGGGGCCGATTGGAGAGTGATTGGAGGGGCCGAGTGGAGAGTGATTGGAGGGGCCGAGTGGAGAGTGATTGGAGGGGCCGAGTGGAGAGTGATTGGAGGGGCCGATTGGAGAGTGATTGGAGGGGCCGATTGGAGAGTGATTGGAGGGGCCGAGTGGAGAGTGATTGGAGGGGCCGATTGGAGAGTGATTGGAGGGGCCGAGTGGAGAGTGATTGGAGGGGCCGAGTGGAGAGTGATTGGAGGGGCCGAGTGGAGAGTGATTGGAGGGGCCGATTGGAGAGTGATTGGAGGGGCCGAGTGGAGAGTGATTGGAGGGGCCGAGTGGAGAGTGATTGGAGGGGCCGAGTGGAGAGTGATTGGAGGGGCCGAGTGGAGAGTGATTGGAGGGGCCGATTGGAGAGTGACTGGAGGGGCCGATTGGAGAGTGATTGGAGGGGCCGATTGGAGAGTGATTGGAGGGGCCGAGTGGAGAGTGATTGGAGGGGCCGAGTGGAGAGTGATTGGAGGGGCCGATTGGAGAGTGATTGGAGGGGCCGAGTGGAGAGTGATTGGAGGGGCCGATTGGAGAGTGATTGGAGGGGCCGAGTGGAGAGTGATTGGAGGGGCCGATTGGAGAGTGATTGGAGGGGCCGATTGGCGAGTGATTGGAGGGGCCGATTGGAGAGTGATTGGAGGGGCCGAGTGGAGAGTGATTGGAGGGGCCGATTGGAGAGTGATTGGAGGGGCCGATTGGAGAGTGATTGGAGGGGCCGAGTGGAGAGTGATTGGAGGGGCCGAGTGGAGAGTGATTGGAGGGGCCGATTGGAGAGTGATTGGAGGGGCCGAGTGGAGAGTGATTGGAGGGGCCGATTGGAGAGTGATTGGAGGGGCCGATTGGAGAGTGATTGGAGGGGCCGAGTGGAAGTGATTGGAGGGGCCGATTGGAGAGTGATTGGAGGGGCCGAGTGGAGAGTGATTGGAGGGGCCGATTGGAGAGTGATTGGAGGGGCCGAGTGGAGAGTGATTGGAGGGGCCGATTGGAGAGTGATTGGAGGGGCCGATTGGAGAGTGATTGGAGGGGCCGAGTGGAGAGTGATTGGAGGGGCCGAGTGGAGAGTGATTGGAGGGGCCGAGTGGAGAGTGATTGGAGGGGCCGATTGGAGAGTGATTGGAGGGGCCGATTGGAGAGTGATTGGAGGGGCCGAGTGGAGAGTGATTGGAGGGGCCGATTGGAGAGTGATTGGAGGGGCCGAGTGGAGAGTGATTGGAGGGGCCGAGTGGAGAGTGATTGGAGGGGCCGAGTGGAGAGTGATTGGAGGGGCCGATTGGAGAGTGATTGGAGGGGCCGAGTGGAGAGTGATTGGAGGGGCCGAGTGGAGAGTGATTGGAGGGGCCGAGTGGAGAGTGATTGGAGGGGCCGAGTGGAGAGTGATTGGAGGGGCCGATTGGAGAGTGACTGGAGGGGCCGATTGGAGAGTGATTGGAGGGGCCGATTGGAGAGTGATTGGAGGGGCCGAGTGGAGAGTGATTGGAGGGGCCGAGTGGAGAGTGATTGGAGGGGCCGATTGGAGAGTGATTGGAGGGGCCGAGTGGAGAGTGATTGGAGGGGCCGATTGGAGAGTGATTGGAGGGGCCGAGTGGAGAGTGATTGGAGGGGCCGATTGGAGAGTGATTGGAGGGGCCGATTGGCGAGTGATTGGAGGGGCCGAGTGGAGAGTGATTGGAGGGGCCGAGTGGAGAGTGATTGGAGGGGCCGATTGGAGAGTGATTGGAGGGGCCGAGTGGAGAGTGATCGGAGGGGCCGATTGGAGAGTGATTGGAGGGGCCGATTGGAGAGTGATTGGAGGGGCCGATTTTAGAGTGATTGGAGGGGCCGAGTGGAGAGTGATTGGAGGGGCCGAGTGGAAGTGATTGGAGGGGCCGATTGGAGAGTGATTGGAGGGGCCGATTGGAGAGTGATTGGAGGGGCCGATTGGAGAGTGATTGGAGGGGCCGAGTGGAGAGTGATTGGAGGGGCCGATTGGAGAGTGATTGGAGGGGCCGATTGGAGAGTGATTGGAGGGGCCGAGTGGAGAGTGATTGGAGGGGCCGATTGGAGAGTGATTGGAGGGGCCGATTGGAGAGTGATTGGAGGGGCCGAGTGGAGAGTGATTGGAGGGGCCGATTGGAGAGTGATTGGAGGGGCCGAGTGGAGAGTGATTGGAGGGGCCGAGTGGAGAGTGATTGGAGGGGCCGAGTGGAGAGTGATTGGAGGGGCCGATTGGAGAGTGATTGGAGGGGCCGAGTGGAGAGTGATTGGAGGGGCCGAGTGGAGAGTGATTGGAGGGGCCGAGTGGAGAGTGATTGGAGGGGCCGAGTGGAGAGTGATTGGAGGGGCCGATTGGAGAGTGACTGGAGGGGCCGATTGGAGAGTGATTGGAGGGGCCGATTGGAGAGTGATTGGAGGGGCCGAGTGGAGAGTGATTGGAGGGGCCGAGTGGAGAGTGATTGGAGGGGCCGATTGGAGAGTGATTGGAGGGGCCGAGTGGAGAGTGATTGGAGGGGCCGATTGGAGAGTGATTGGAGGGGCCGAGTGGAGAGTGATTGGAGGGGCCGATTGGAGAGTGATTGGAGGGGCCGAGTGGAGAGTGATTGGAGGGGCCGATTGGAGAGTGATTGGAGGGGCCGATTGGAGAGTGATTGGAGGGGCCGAGTGGAGAGTGATTGGAGGGGCCGAGTGGAGAGTGATTGGAGGGGCCGATTGGAGAGTGATTGGAGGGGCCGAGTGGAGAGTGATTGGAGGGGCCGATTGGAGAGTGATTGGAGGGGCCGATTGGAGAGTGATTGGAGGGGCCGATTGGAGAGTGTTTGGAGGGGCCGAGTGGAGAGTGATTGGAGGGGCCGAGTGGAGAGTGATTGGAGGGGCCGATTGGAGAGTGATTGGAGGGGCCGATTGGAGAGTGATTGCAGGGGCCGAGTGGAGAGTGATTGGAGGGGCCGATTGGAGAGTGATTGGAGGGGCCGAGTGGAGAGTGATTGGAGGGGCCGATTGGAGAGTGATTGGAGGGGCCGAGTGGAGAGTGATTGGAGGGGCCGAGTGGAGAGTGATTGGAGGGGCCGAGTGGAGAGTGATTGGAGGGGCCGAGTGGAGAGTGATTGGAGGGGCCGATTGGAGAGTGACTGGAGGGGCCGATTGGAGAGTGATTGGAGGGGCCGAGTGGAGAGTGATTGGAGGGGCCGAGTGGAGAGTGATTGGAGGGGCCGATTGGAGAGTGATTGGAGGGGCCGAGTGGAGAGTGATTGGAGGGGCCGATTGGAGAGTGATTGGAGGGGCCGAGTGGAGAGTGATTGGAGGGGCCGATTGGAGAGTGATTGAAGGGGCCGATTGGAGAGTGATTGGAGGGGCCGAGTGGAGAGTGATTGGAGGGGCCGAGTGGAGAGAGATTGGAGGGGCCGATTGGAGAGTGATTGGAGGGGCCGAGTGGAGAGTGATTGGAGGGGCCGATTGGAGAGTGATTGGAGGGGCCGATTGGAGAGTGATTGGAGGGGCCGAGTGGAAGTGATTGGAGGGGCCGATTGGAGAGTGATTGGAGGGGCCGATTGGAGAGTGATTGGAGGGGCCGAGTGGAGAGTGATTGGAGGGGCCGATTGGAGAGTGATTGGAGGGGCCGAGTGGAGAGTGATTGGAGGGGCCGATTGGAGAGTGATTGGAGGGGCCGATTGGAGAGTGATTGGAGGGGCCGAGTGGAGAGTGATTGGAGGGGCCGAGTGGAGAGTGATTGGAGGGGCCGATTGGAGAGTGATTGGAGGGGCCGAGTGGAGAGTGATTGGAGGGGCCGATTGGAGAGTGATTGGAGGGGCCGATTGGAGAGTGATTGGAGGGGCCGATTGGAGAGTGATTGGAGGGGCCGAGTGGAGAGTGATTGGAGGGGCCGAGTGGAGAGTGATTGGAGGGGCCGATTGGAGAGTGATTGGAGGGGCCGATTGGAGAGTGATTGCAGGGGCCGAGTGGAGAGTGATTGGAGGGGCCGATTGGAGAGTGATTGGAGGGGCCGAGTGGAGAGTGATTGGAGGGGCCGATTGGAGAGCGATTGGAGGGGCCGAGTGGAGAGTGATTGGAGGGGCCGAGTGGAGAGTGATTGGAGGGGCCGAGTGGAGAGTGATTGGAGGGGCCGAGTGGAGAGTGATTGGAGGGGCCGATTGGAGAGTGACTGGAGGGGCCGATTGGAGAGTGATTGGAGGGGCCGATTGGAGAGTGATTGGAGGGGCCGAGTGGAGAGTGATTGGAGGGGCCGAGTGGAGAGTGATTGGAGGGGCCGAGTGGAGAGTGATTGGAGGGGCCGATTGGAGAGTGATTGGAGGGGCCGAGTGGAGAGTGATTGGAGGGGCCGAGTGGAGAGTGATTGGAGGGGCCGATTGGAGAGTGATTGGAGGGGCCGAGTGGAGAGTGATTGGAGGGGCCGATTGGAGAGTGATTGGAGGGGCCGATTGGAGAGTGATTGGAGGGGCCGAGTGGAGAGTGATTGGAGGGGCCGAGTGGAGAGTGATTGGAGGGGCCGATTGGAGAATGATTGGAGGGGCCGAGTGGAGAGTGATTGGAGGGGCCGATTGGAGAGTGATTGGAGGGGCCGATTGGAGAGTGATTGGAGGGGCCGAGTGGAAGTGATTGGAGGGGCCGATTGGAGAGTGATTGGAGGGGCCGATTGGAGAGTGATTGGAGGGGCCGAGTGGAGAGTGATTGGAGGGGCCGAGTGGAGAGTGATTGGAGGGGCCGAGTGGAGAGTGATTGGAGGGGCCGATTCTAGAGTGATTGGAGGGGCCGAGTGGAGAGTGATTGGAGGGGCCGATTGGAGAGTGATTGGAGGGGCCGAGTGGAGAGTGATTGGAGGGGCCGATTGGAGAGTGATTGGAGGGGCCGATTGGAGAGTGATTGGAGGGGCCGAGTGGAGAGTGATTGGAGGGGCCGATTGGAGAGTGATTGGAGGGGCCGATCGGAGAGTGATTGGAGGGGCCGATTGGAGAGTGATTGGAGGGGCCGATTGGAGAGTGATTGGAGGGGCCGATTGGAGAGTGATTGGAGGGGCCGATTGGAGAGTGATTGGAGGGGCCGATTGGAGAGTGATTGAGCAATCCGACAAGCACACCATCTAGGGACGGTGCTTAAGATGTCTCAGAAACTGACTGCAGGGGCTCAATGCCTTGTGATGTGGTGTGTTGATGGTGTTGATGGTGTTGATGGTGTTGATGGTGTGATTGTGGATGCATAGGGGTTTGCGGAAGCAGATGGATGGGGAGATGATGGGCACATGGATGGGGACCAGAGAGGGGCAAGCATCGAGGAGCATTTATATGGGGACAGAGAGGAGCAATTATATGCATCGGGAGGGGCAGTCAGTGCATCCCCACCGATGCTGGGCGAGGTAGAAGCAGATGAAGGGAGATGAAGGGAGATGAAGGGAGATGAAGGGAGATGAAGGGAGATGAAGGGAGATGAAGGGAGATGAAGGGGGATGAAGGGGGATGAAGGGAGATGAAGGGAGATGAAGGGGGATGAAGGGGGATGAAGGGGGATGAAGGGGGATGAAGGGGGATGAAGGGGGATGAAGGGGGATGTAGGGGGATGTAGGGGGATGTAGGGAGAGGAAGGGAGAGGAAGGGAGAGGAAGGGAGAGGAAGGGAGAGGAAGGGAGAGGAAGGGAGAGGAAGGGAGAGGAAGGGAGAGGAAGGGGGACGAAGGGGGACGAAGGGGGACGAAGGGGGACGAAGGGGGACGAAGGGGGACGAAGGGGGACGAAGTGGGACGAAGGGGGACGAAGGGGGACGAAGGGGGAGGAAGGGAGAGGAAGGGAGAGGAAGGGAGGCGAAGGGAGGCGAAGGGAGGCGAAGGGAGGCGAAGGGAGAGGAAGGGAGAGGAAGGGAGAGGAAGGGAGAGGAAGGGAGAGGAAGGGAGAGGAAGGGAGAGGAAGGGAGAGGAAGGGAGAGGAAGGGAGAGGAAGGGAGAGGAAGGGGGAGGAAGGGAGAGGAAGGGAGAGGAAGGGAGGCGAAGGGAGGCGAAGGGAGAGGAAGGGAGAGGAAGGGAGAGGAAGGGAGAGGAAGGGAGAGGAAGGGAGAGGAAGGGAGAGGAAGGGAGAGGAAGGGAGAGGAAGGGAGAGGAAGGGAGAGGAAGGGAGAGGAAGGGAGAGGAAGGGAGAGGAAGGGAGAGGAAGGGAGAGGAAGGGAGAGGAAGGGAGAGGAAGGGAGAGGAAGGGAGAGGAAGGGAGAGGAAGGGAGAGGAAGGGAGAGGAAGGGAGAGGAAGGGAGATGAAGGGAGATGAAGGGAGATGCAGCAGTTAGGTACAAAGGAGATGCGAGGCGCAAGGGGCCAGGGACAACGGGTAGTTGGGGAGGAGGAGGGGGGGGTAGAAGCAGATGAAGGGAGATGAAGGGAGATGAAGGCAAATGAAGGGAGATGAAGGGAGAGGAAGGAAGATGCAGATAGCTTGGGATGTGTGCTCCTTCACAAAATATAAAGAAAAAGAAAAAAAAAAAAACACCGTTACCGGTAATAGTAAATTATGTTGGGCTGAGAAAAAGCCCTTAAGATCTTTTCAAGGCTAAAAATCTGAGTAGAAATGTTGTAATTGCGGAAGCGTATGATAAGATTATTGAACCACCTTGCACTAGTATGTGAGAGCAAGATAGATTGATTAAAGCAAAGAGATGCAAGGATATACCGTATATATGATTACAAGGAATACGATGAGGTGCGGTTTAACTGTTTTTGCTGTTGCGGTTCGATACAGTGACGACACGGGCAACTGCTCAATACCGAGTCAGTTGTTTGTCCTTGCTGTCGCGCTGTATTTTCGTCGAGTCAAAGGTCGCTGACCTTTGACCTTCGCGTAACCTCCAGCTGTTACGTTTGTTGACTCGTTTGCTGCTTCACTGTAGTCTGCTTCGTTCGTGTTATTACTTCGATACTTCAGAAGCGCTAACTATGTGTTTCCAACACTCCCCTTCACTTCTGGAGTGTCGCTGCTGATGACGTGGCCTTGTCCAGTCAGCAGCACGCAATACTCGAACTTCAGCTTTTCGAGCTTCTTCGTCAAGTAGTCTGCTGCCATCTTGCACGTGGGGCAATAGGATAGCTCGAGTGTTCCTTTCTCGATCTCGTCCTTCACGAAGAAGTACCGAAGGGCGATGTGCTTAGTTCGATTTGCGAACCCGCTCTTGTTCGCTATGCGAATTGCGGATTGATTGTCGCAGAAGAGGGAGAAGCTGGGTAACTTAGCCATTTTTTCTTCTTCCAGCAGTTCGCGAAGGTATAATCCTTCCTTGGTGGCTGAGCAGAGTGCGATGTATTGTGCTTCAGCTGAGGAGAGAGCGATTAGCTCTTGCTTGTTCGACTGCCATGAAATGGGGCCGATAGGTTCGAGTCAGTAGATGTAGCCAGTGTGAGATCGCCTGTTGTCAGGGTCTCCGGCGTGATCGGCATCGACGTAGCCGATTAATTTAGGTGTCAAGGTTTCAGTTTTGTGGTAGATAAGGATGACTGTCGGGGTGCTGACGAGGTAGTGTAGAGCGTGATCGAGTTCTGCCATATGCGCGGCTGTGGGCTTCTTGAGGTAGGTGGCGAGCTGGCTCGCTGAGTGTGATAGATCTGGTAGGCAGGTGACGGTTGCGAAGAGGAGGCAGCCTAGCTTTCGTTGGTAGTCGCGTATGCCGACAAATTTGAGGGGCGCGGACATTTCCTTGCGATTTCCGTCGGTGTAACGATATGGCGTGGTGATGGTAGCTGGAGTTAGTTTGAAGCGTTTGGCGATGGTGTCGGCGTATTTAGCGGCGCTGAGGTAGATCCCCTTTTCCTTGTCTTGTATGTTAAGTCCCAGGTACTGTGTCACGGTGGACGAGACGGTGAGTGTGAGATCCCGCTGTAGCTCCTCTTCAAACCAGGTTGTTATGCCATCGGTGGAGCCTATGTAGAGGAGATCGTCTACGTAGACGATGAGCAAGATGTAGTTGTCAAGAGAATGAACGAAAATGAATGAACTAGCAAAGAGTTGGGTACAAGTACTAACCCTAATTGGGTTGTACCCCTTATGGGCTACCCCACTACAGCCTCTACAATGTAAGCTATATATAAGTTTGACACACCCCCATAGGCAAAGTGGGGGAGAACAAGTGGTCACAAGACCAGTCAAGAAAGCAAAGCAAGCTCAGGGTGGATCACAAAGTCACCACACAGTCCGAGCACAAGCAAAGGGCCAAAAGGCCAGTTCACATGCAGGGTGATATAAAGAGAACAAACAATACAGTGATCATATCCTAGCAAGTGCAAGCATGCAGATATATATATAGATCACAGTACAAGCAAGTCAAGCAGTAAGCAAGTGAGGCAAAGTAGGCACAAGGCCTAACATAATAGAGAAGCGCTGATGATCACCAGGCGGAAGTGCCTTGGTGAATATATCAGCAGTGTTGGCCCTAGTGGCCACGTACGCAAGACGAAGCTGGTCACGCTGCTGCAACTCTCGAGCAAGGAAGTATCGCAGAGCGATGTGCTTTGTTCTGTGCTCCAGTTTGTGCTCCTGACATAAGGCAATCATGGCCTTGTTTTCTACGTACAGAACTGGAGGCGAACGAGGCTGCTCTCCCAAGTCGGTCAGCAGGTAGGTGAGCCAGCGTAGCTCCTGTGCAGCCACGGCCCCGGCGTAGATCTCAGCCTCACAGCTGGAGCTGAGAACCGAAGACGAGCGGGTAGACCGCCAGGAAACAGAGCCAGAGCCAATGCTGAAGGTGTAACCCTGTGACGACCGCTGCGTAGCTGAGTCGTCAACCCAGGAAGCGTCTGCGTGACCGGTGAGGACAACTGGACCCCGTCCTCCAAGCACGAGCCCGATGCTCGACGTACTGCACAAGTAACGCAGTACCCTCTTCGCAGCATCCCAGTGCACCTTTCGGTGCCTGCCGGGAGCCACGTAGCACGCTAGGAGGCTGAGAGGGTACGCGAGGTCAGGTCGAGTGCACGTCATCAGGTACATGAGGCAACCCACAAGCTCTGGGTACGGACCACTCGGCTCTACGGACTCGTCCGGAGGTGGAGCTGAGAGCGAGTGGCTGGTAGACAGAGGAGTGGGCTGTGGCGAGGAGAACTGGAAGCCGAAACGCTGAAGGACCTAATGCACCTTGTGTGACTGAGTCAGGGTATCGGTGCGTCGAGCTCTGTCCCGGGTGATTTGCAAGCCAAGATAGCTGCGCAGTTCACACAGGTCAGTGCAGGTGTTGTCAGAGGTCTACTGGTGATCCCCGATTGATCCTAGGGAAGGGTTACAGGCTCGTTGTCCTGGTGTGTGTGCACTTCGGGCATCCCAGTGCGGGGGGGTGGCAGAGGTCCACTGGTGATCCTTGATTGATCCTAGGGAAGGGTTACAGGCTCGTTGTCCTATGGGGGTTATGGGCACACTTACCCGCTACTGAACAAGCCATTTTATCCCAATGGTCTAGTGGTTGGGATTCTGACAGGTGTGTCTCTTCTGCAGCTCCGACTTCACAAGGGTCAGTGCCCCAGTTCTAGCAGTGGCAAAGACGAGGTCGTTGGTGTAGACGAGGAGGTAAAACGGCGGCAGCGAGGTGTCGGTGCGACGGGTCAGCAGTAGCAGGAGCAAACCCAAGAGCCGCAAGTGTAGTCCTCAGTGTGTCGTGCCACTCGCGAGGCGCCTGGCGGAGACCATAGAGTGGCCGCCGAAGACTCCACTGAGTACCTGCAAGAAAAAACTCAGCGAAGCCAGGTGGGCGGTGCAGCCAGATCTCCTCGTGCAGGCTACCATGCAGAAAGGCTGTGCTGAAGTCTAGAGAGTGCAACTCGTAGTCACGCTGAGCAGCGACGTGTAGCAACAGCCGAAGAGTAGTCATCTTTGGGGTGGGGGAGAAGGTCTGGAAGTAGTCCACCCCCTGTCGCTGACTGAAGCCTCGAGCAACGTAACGCGCCTTGAAGGCAGGCGGAGAACCCGGCGGCCACTTCACCCTGAAGATCCACATGCCATCGACTATGTTCGCCCCAGATGGGGGAACCTCGTCGACGTAGGTGCCTGTGGACTTCCAGGATGCCATCTCGGCATCCATGGCTGCCTGCCACTGAGAGGAGTAAGGACCCGTAATCGCCTCTGCGTAAG